TCCTGTATTTTATTGAACTCCCTTCGATTAACAACAGAAGGCTCCAAATTGAAAGCTGGTATGAATTATTAGGGGTTTTATCATTTTAAGAAAAGAATTTGGCACTCTGAAAAAGACGGAATATCTGCGGAAAATAAAAGTACAATGATGACTCACTTGTGATGTCATTTTTCTGCAGAATTTGTCCTGAATAACTTGATTTATTAGAAAACTGTTGAACAATTTTTCCCCCAACTGCTTTTTTAGCAAAATGTGTTGTCAGTCAGGTTGAATAATGGGGCAGAATTAGTCATATTTTTTTGAATGGGTAAAAATTGGAAAAAGAAATGTTTGTATTAATAAACTATTTATAATAAGAGGAACTCCTTTGTTGATGAATCATTTGTTTTTAATTTTTCTTCAATATGTGAAATATATATTTAATTTAATACACAAGTTGTACATGAAGCTGACCACTATATATTCTTAGGTCATTAGGTGAAGGTCACTAAATATGTAAGTTAGTAGGTGAAGGTCATATGATTTTTAATGCAGCAGGTGAAGGCCACTGATTTTAGAAGTCAAGAAGTTAAGGTCACTGAATTTATAAGTGAATGAATTGAGGTCACTGAATTTATATAAGTGAATTGATGAAGATCACTAAATTTATAGGTCAAAAAGTGAAGGTCACTGATTTGTAGGTCAAGAAGTGAAGGTCACTGATATTTTATAAGTCAGTCAGTGAAGGTTTCTGAATTTGTATGTTGCAGAAGGTCACTGAAATATTGTAAGTGAATGGGTGAAGGTCACTGAATTTTTAAGTCAGTAGGTGAAAGTCATTGAAATTTATGATACAGAAAGTGAAGGTCATTGAATTTATAAGTCAGTAGGTGAAAGTGACTTCATTTTGCGCAGTATGGTAAGGTAACTGTTTTCAAGGACATTATTTTAGTACAGCAGTCAGCATGATCAAGTTGTAGTTGAACTTACTTTAAGATTATAATGACTATACCATAAATGAAGAAAATATTTCCAGTTAAATTTTAAAAAAAAATTTTTTGCAATAAAAAAAGTGTTTTCTTACAGCTCTTCCAGAGAAATTAACAACAAGACTGATTTACAAGGTTAACTGCCATTGATTAATACTTAAAAGATGACAGAGCAAAGTAATAGGGATTTGATTATTTACTGTGTCACAGTTACGGTTTTATTAACACTTTTTGTTGGGGGAAATAGCGATCAGTAATTGTTTTCAATTTAAGAGAAGAATAATTGTTTGACTGAATTGTGTTTTTGTTCATATGGCGCCATTTAAGCCATTTTGTAACCCTTTAATTAATTTCTCTCACTGCTGTTTAGTTTTCTTGTTTTTTTTGTTTTTTCACATATCAAATATTTTTCTCAGGATAGAGTAAACAAAATTGGTTTTACAACAATTAAATTGAAGATTGGAAAAAAAGAAGAAAACAAAAGATTAAATTTGTCATTCTTTTAAGTGTTTTGTACAATTAACATCACTCTAGCAGGGGTAAAAATTAACAACTTGTCAAGCTGAATTTCTGTGATTGACTTCACTTTGCTTTCATTTTGAATCTGTCAAGGTTAACTATAAGATTTGTGTAAGTTTAAGGGAGTTCTAAGCTAAATGCTGAAGTTTTGATGTTGAATCTTTTAATTAATCTGCTTTCGCCCAAAGTTAGAAACCTTTGCCGCCAGTATAGGGCTTATTTGCAGACTTCAACATTTAAACATGTTATAGTATGAAAAAAAAGAAAGAAAGAAAAAAACCAAAAAAAAAACCACAATGATTATTTGGTTTAAGTCTGCACTCATATCAATGAACTGCTCGGAAATACTGACAATCAATTCTTGATATTCTTCCGGGACTGCAGCCCATTTATAAACACAGACATTGATGCTAGACTGCTAGATCATCAAATCAGCATATACATATAGGGGGGCATATTTCACATTCATACTCTATATAGCAGTCAATTATTGTTCTGATGATTTTTTTGCTATTATTTCCAATAGTTTCTCATTGAGTATTCATATCAGATGCATTCATCTTGATCATCCTGTACAGTTTAAGTGATAAGCAAACGCAGCAGCTTTTAATAATCGGCATTCTGACTAACCGGGAGAATTATCATGTAGTATAAAACTAAATAATTGACCTTGCAGTTCTATTTTTTCTTCTGAATTTTGTATAATGTTATCTTCTTTTTTTTGTTGAGGCAATTAAGTTGAAACAGTGAGTGAGTAGTAAAGAATGTGTTGTTTTGAGAATATTAAACTTAGATTTAATCAAACCAAGTAAACACAGATTTGACTGCATTTGCTACGTTTTAACAGTTATGAGGTAGTGTTCAGGAAAAGCTCTCCAATTAAAGTAAAGGCTTTTAATAGATGTGATCCCTATTTTGGGCCATGGTGCATCATAAATATGTAGTTCTAGGTCCTTGGACTGGTAACTTATGGAGTTAGTTTATCCAGTAGAGATTGATTGATCTGTGACGCATAATCCTGCCCTTACAATATTGGCCTTCAGCGGAGAAAGTATTCATGAATTCTGCAGTAATAAGATTCATTTCTGCTCCACGGAAGAATTACTGTTGGTTTTTGTTGATTACCACAAACAAATAACAACTGACAGGGGATGAAAATGTCCCCGGGAAAAGACTTGTGTGTGTGCATTATAGGAGGTTTTTTTTTTGTTGTTTTTTTTTGTGTGAAGAAGAAAAATAGAAAACAGTTTATTTTGGTTTCTTTATTGCTCCCGTTGCAGTATTGGACTGTTTTTCTTGTTGTAAAAATAAATTCTCATTATTATACATTATGCTCTGTTTATACAAAAAAAATGCAAATAACTTTGAATTAATTAAGTAAAAAGAGGTTACAATTAAACCAGTGAATAGGAAAGAAATAATTCATTTACATTTACGAGGGCTGTTCAAAAAATTCGTGGACTGCGGCTCTACTGTTCACATCTTTTAATCTGCGTATATAATTTTACAAGAGGCATATATGAAAATATGTCGTTAATAAACAGTGAAAAAATCAAGACAATATGTTTACAAATAAGAATTCGGTGACAGTTACAAATCACAAGGGGTGCACAATCCGGCGCACGCTGATGATGAAAAAAAAGACGTTAGTGACGTCGCAATATAAATGAATCATTTTACCAGCGTCATTGTTTCTGAAAGTAATCTTTTTAGTGTTCAATACCTGCGGATCATAAACCAAAACCATTTTTCTGTTTGTGATGATGACCCGAGATATTAAGTGGTCATCTTTTCGCTCCATTCTCCGTATGAAGGTCCGAGTGCCGCATACTTTCCGCTCTTTATCGGGATTTTTGAATAATTTCGACACTTAACGGACAGTGTTATAAAGTTAATTCAATTGTTGATTTAAAGTATCAATTTGAAACCGCCCTCGTCCGATCTTTAAACAATATGATTATCAATTATAAAGAAAACTATATTATCAAGTGACAATTATTTTATGCGGTAAATCTACTGAACACCGGCTAGCATGACTTATCAAACGGACCAGGGTAAATACACGTAATACAAATAATAGCTACAATTATTTATCGTTTATACGCATATATCCTGATGAATGAAATAAAATATTGTTTTAATTGAATTAAATTGTTTTGTCAGAATTGAATGCATAGACCCGATGCAGAAATTTAACATGTCGGACATCTCGCAAAACTTTCATAATGTCTGAACTTCTGTAGATCTTTTGCAATTGACGTTACAAACGTCTCAATAATTTGCCGCTAAATATTATGCGTCGCCCTTTCTGTCTGTGAGCATGTATTTGTCGTATTTGAATCGCTTGCGCAACCTGAAACCAAGAGACTTGCTCGCCAACTCATTGTTCTTCGTTTATTTAATCACCTCATAAAAATATAAAGGAGTATCCCACATTGATTGGTAAAAAATTCCAAAAGAGCGAATTTCTAGTTTTTAAACGGACTTTATACTTCCCAACTTACCCGTCTGTCTACTGCTGCTCAAACCCTATTTGTTCAGCTATTCAACGTCCAAACGACGTCAAATTTCAGATTTATGTCATTTAAGTATTAATACATGATTACTTGTATTTTTCTTTATAAAACAATCATTCAGTTTGTTTCAACATGTGTTTATATTTAAACATTATATTAAAAATTCGGCGTGCGCCGATGTTGCGTTGCCATGGTTATTAAAGTGCACATGACTCGTAAAGGAAATAAAAGTCAACAATAAAAGTAAATCTTACTTTTAGAAATACAGACACTCTTTCGATTCATATCCACTAAGGGTGTTTTTATGAACCAAGTAAAAAATGACAGCAAAAATCCACGAACTTTTTGAACATACCTCGTATCTTGATATGCTTTTGGTCATCAATCATGATAATCGCCATCATTTACATGTATAAAGTACAAAGCACAGTTTTCTTGCGGTATATTAAAGGTAAGTAGTTCATACAGTATATTAAAATACACTGTAAAAGGAAGGTTATTCAAACAGTATTTTAAATCAAAGACAAGTTATTCAAACAGTGTATTAAAGGTAAGTAATTCATACAGTATTTTAAAGGTAAGTCAAATTCATACATTGTTATAGAAAGGTAATTCATATAGTATATTTAAGGTGATTCGGGTAGTGTACAAGTAAATATGTAAGTGATCATTTAAATTTCAAGTCAGAACCTGTGATGTAATCTGTATTTGTTCTTAATAAATATTTGTTTCATTTTATCTCAAATTATATGTTCACATGTTATATTTTTATTTTTAAATACAAATTAATTATTTCTTTCAATGCATTTATTTTTCTGCAATATTTGGCATAGTTATCTACCTGATAAGATGGTTTTGTTTAGCAGCCAAGATGTAGAATGTGATTAAAGAAGTTAGTTTTAATAGTGACTAATTAATAAGTTTGTTTTAACAAATTAAATGTTTCTATCATTTTATCCCAGATTTTGTATAATGTGCTCTTTTTCTCCCCTTACAGAAAACAAGACCTAAGAGAATTAAAGTTATTACAGAAAAATGAAAACAAACAGTATCAGGACCTCATATATAAGGCACAGCTTGCACGTGAAATGCAAGATCGTAAATTTGAAACTGATATGCAGGTAAGGTTTTGTTTAAAACTCAAGAATTCTTTGTAAGAAATTATCTTAGACTGTTTTTGACTAGAAATGTTTCAACTTAAGAGGTAACCACTTAAGGGCTGAACTGCTGTGGGTTCAAATCCCGACAGGCACTTTGGTTTCTGTCATGTGAGGAAGCTATCCAGTTAGCTTACGGTGGTTCTACTCAGGTGCCCGTTCATGCCTGAAATAATGCATGGAAGGACACAAGGTCTTCCTCCACCAGTAAAGCTGTAAAGTTGCCAAATGACTTATACTGTGTCTGTGTGACATAAAACAAAATCAGACAAACAAACAAAACTTAAGGGCTGATCACAGTCCTTACTGTCAAGTTATAAATGACAGTTAACATGAACCCATGTTTCAATCAAAATTATGTATTTTATCATAGAAAAAAACCTGTTTACAAGACAACAAGGCAAAGGCCATAAATATACATTTTTACTGTAATCAGTCCAGTTCTTCCCCATCCCTGTAATGATAAGTAATGTCAGATCATTCGTACACACCATCGCTTTATGGACATTAATAAGTAAGAAAGATTGAGTTTTAACCATGTGGGAATAGGATAAATTTTACAATGACTGACTGCTTTGACAATGTGGCCGTTTTAAGGCCCCTAGTGATTCATTTTCTGTCTTGCGGGTTACCAAAAATTACCAGTAATTAAACATCGTTGATATATTTGTCTGAATAAAATGTGTCCAAGAGAGATGAGTGTCAATAACCCATTTAACATTTTTCTCAAACATTTACTTGTTTATTACATTTTGTATTTTGTTAAATGTAATCAATGTCCTTGACCACACCCTTTGAGGTGGGAGGGGGGAGCAGGAACTTTTACTTGTGTATTTTCAAACCCCTGGAATAGGCAACCTGAAGTTGTAAAATCCCTATTTCCAGAGACATATCAAAATATAGATGATCATGTATTTTAATGTCTACGCTATCTTAATGAAACCACTGCAATTTGAACCAGCACAGGGGTTTAGGGCCACAGTTGATTTAGGGACACATTGATGGAAATAGGGCTAGTCTTTCCTGCTATCTCCCACATTGCCTTTGAAGTAAGGGGCATAATAGTAACAATTGTCTGTGGTGCATTTCTGCACTTTGAGAACTTTTTTCATCAATTATAACATTATAAGGAGACAATATGACGGTGATTTTAGACTGTCTTGAAAATTGAATAAAAAGATTTAGTCTCGTAAGGTAATTTAACAGACATTCTTATTGACGTAGAAAAATGCTCGTTCAAGGTGCAGATGCTTGGTAGAGCTGCTGTAATCTGACAATAAATGGTGTTTAGTGTCTAACTTTATTATTGTTATACCATTTGTTGCTTGTAGTTAACTGTCATCTGCTGCAGTTTATCTGCACACAGATCTTACATAATTGACCTCCCAATGTTGCATCTTTGCGCGCTGCAAAATGTTATAGACCTGTAATGTTCTTTTGCCTTGGTATGTCAATTCACAGAAAAACAGGGAATCATAATATTCTTGGAATATTCTTGTATTGCATAAATTTTGCTTTATCAGCAGTTCTGTAGAAAACTTTAAATAGGTTTAAGTAAGATTTACACTTCATTGAATATTTAAAGTATGATATTTTGCTAGCTCACTAAATCAATAAATCTAATATATAATATGGTTATTTTGATATAGTAAACACTTACATGTCTATAGATTGAATATAAGACAATATGTCAACCATACAACACATTTAAGACTCATTAAAATGTTAAGTGCCTGCCCATCTGCTTCTGACCACACTAAACAGACTGGTTATTCATCAAAATTTTTATTTAGGCACCCATTCAGCAACAGTATCTTCATAGATACCTGTACCAATAAGTGACAAAGTGCCTTGCTGTAATTGCGGCAGTAAGTGGAGTTACAAAGCATTGAAACAAAATCAAATATGACATTGCTTTATTTTGAAGTTTCTGTTCTATGGGTGACAATTCCATGTTAAGAAACTGCTTTACCTATAAGCAGTTACCTACATTTACATGCAAATGTGCCCCTCACTACTATAGGATTGGAACCCGACAGGGACTTTGGATTTTTTCAGGTGAAGAAACTATCCAGTTAGCTTACGGAACTATCAGTGGTTACCTACTCAGGTGCCCGTTTGTGCCTGAAATAATAATGCATTGAAGGGCACCTGAGGTCTTCCTCCGCCAGTTAAGCTGGAAAATCACCATTTGACCTATACTCTGTAATCTTTTAAGGATATTAAGGCTGACATCTTTAAGAATAAATAGTTACTGGCGGGGGAGTATTGGAATTTATTTACATTAATATTTAATGATACCGTTATTTTACTTCCATTTAGTTAGATTGCTAAAACTTAAGTGCCAGCAAAATGGGATGGTTTTTCTGTATACCTCTGTGTATTTACTTTAAAACAATTGCCAGACAGAGCTGACAGCAGATATAAGAAAGTTCATGAAGCATTTACTGGTTAATTAGTGATTAGTGAAGGGCATTTGTAGATGAAGGTCTTTTCCTGTAATTAGGCTAGTATTGATTTATAGTCTGTTGACTGCAACTCACCCTGTCCATAACCTTGGATGACCTATAGACATTGCATGCTAGCCTACATTTATCAATTAATCTTAAGTGTCTGGTCGATATTGGGAGTTTTACCCTTATTTTGCTCTAAAGGTTATATCACTGAAACAGAATTATTAAAATTTTCACCATGCAGACTCTTAATCCTTTTTTTAGTGGCCGACTGGTTACGATTGTTGATATTAAACCACTTGCCCCACACTGCTGTGAGTTCAAATCCCAGCTATCCAGCTAGGTTACGGCATGTCAGTGGGTCCAATCAGGTACCTGTCAATGCTTGGAATAATGCATGGAAGGACAACTGAGGTCTTCCTCCACCAGTAAAGCTGGAACATGACCATATGACCAAAAGAAACACAAAAAATAATAAATTGCAGAAAATGTCTCGGAAAAAGTCTCATAGATTTGTTCTGAGTGGTATATTCACATAGTGAGACTGGCCTATGTTTTCTACTTTTATTCTGAACTTTCATTCATTATAAAGATATGTAAAAGTATATTTTTATTAATGAAAAACTAAGTTTATCTATTTTATAATTAGATTAGGAATACAACCGGGTTGTTTTGAGAGATAATTTGCAAATTTTCAAAAAAAGCTGAGATCAAAGATTAGAGGATTTATCTTGTATATAATTATGTTATTATGTGCTATGGAATTTGGCATCGTTCCTGCATACCCTATTAAGACAGGATATGTACAGCAGGTATGCCAAGTATCAGTGTGATATTCATTTGGCATCATATCCCCATCCCCCCCCCCCACCCCCAGCATGGTCATTACAGTCAGGCAATAGTTAAATGTTATAAGTTGAAAAATACTGAAAAAAAAGTTTTGTAAAAGCATAAAATTCTTAAATGAATAAACAAAATCTGACTTCAAGTTTTAATTAGAGTGCTTTATAAAGCTTGTCTGTTTTGAAAGAAGAAGTCAAGCTACTTTTTTATGATCACTTTCACATCACTGTTGTCATTGTGGTACAAAAACTTTAATGTAGCCCAATCCCAATTACTCAAACAATTTTAAAGATATTATTATGAAACTTATGAATACTTGCTTGTAGTTGAAAGGCAGAGGGCATAATTTTGAAAGCTATATTTATGCTCCCCGAAAAATTTCGGGGGAGCATATAGTCGCCGCCTAGTCCGACTGTCCGTCCGTCCGTCTTTCCGTTCGTCCGCACTCACAGGAGAGTAATTATGTGGCTAGAGGGACAATAGGTAACTGTTCTTTCTCTTTGATGTCATTCATTCCGTAATGCTTTTATGTGGCTATTTTCTTTTGCGTGGCTAAAAAGAACAATAGAGAGAACAATATAGAGTAGCCACATAATTACTGTCCTGTGAGAACTTCCGTCCGTCCCCTTTTCTTGTCTGTGACATAACTTTGAAACAACAAGAGGTATCAACATGAAACTTTGTAGGTAGATAGATCTCATTGAGTAGGTGTGCAGTGCACAAAAAATCGTAACTCTGCCTTGCCTAATTTTTGAATTATTCCCCTTTGTTTATTTTTACACTTTGAACTTTGTCCGGGACATAACTCTAAAAGTATAAGAGGTATCAACATGAAACTTTGTAGGTAGATAGATCTCATTGAGTAGGTGTGCAGTGCATAAGAACTGTAACTCTGCCTAGCCTAACTTTTGAATTATCCCCCTTTGTTTATTTTACACTTTGAAATTTGTCCGGGACATAACTCTAAAACTATAATAGGTATCAACATGAAACTTTGTAGGTAGATAGATCTCATTGAGTAGGTGTGCAGTGAACAAGAACCTTAACTCTGCCTTGCCTTATTTTTGAATTATCCCCCTTTGTTTATTTTTACATTTGAACTTTGTCCGGGACATAACTCTAAATGAATAAGAGATATCAACATGAAACTTTGCAGGTAGATAGATCTCATTGAGTAAGTTTGCAGTGCACAAGAACTGTAACACTGTCTTGCCTACTTTTGGAGTTATTGCCCTTTGTTCATTTTGACACTTTGAATTTTACCCGGGACATAACTCTGATATCATCAGGAAACTTTATAGATAGATAGATCTCATTGAATAGAAGTGCAAAAAAAACATAACTCCGCTTTGCCTAATTTTGGAGTTTTTGCCCTTTGTTCATTTTTTTTATACTTTTCCTGTGTCCAGAACCTTCTCGGGGAGCATCACCCGGTTCAACCGGTTCTTGTTTTAGTTATGCTCTTTTTTAACAGACAAGCATTTACACATTTGGTCCTCTTCTTATAACAAGTTTTGATCCTAGGTAATTCTAAATAAATTCAGTTTCATGGAAATATTTTAAATTTAGGTCTTTACCAAATTGTGTTACAACTGAAAGTACAAATTTCATGCAGGAATATTGAGTCTAATTTGATTGGGGGAATACAGAAGTATTTACCGGTAGGATGTTATTCAGGTTAGAAGGAAAATCCACTTTTATGTCATTTTTTTTTTTCATATTTGTATGAATCATAAAGGTCAGTTGCATTCTGGAAAAATGAATTTTCATTGTCTAAAAATAGATTTAATAGGTGTTCAAACAAGGTTTTGAGGCTTGGTCCCATTATTCATGAAATAACATAGAACTACAGTCAGCAATGTTTAAAAAATATGTCCTGTCATTTTATGTAACATTTAGGCACCAATTCCCATCAGAGCTCATGTGTTTTGCTAATGGTTGCAAGGCCAACGTTTGCGAGACAGTTTTACAGATATAATTTATGTTTCTGGTGCAGCATTCTGATATTCTGACATTTATATGGAGAAATCCTCTCCAACTGCCAAATATGCGTCATTCTCATTGCAAGGAAAACATTCCCATATTCACCCTTTCTTGACCTTGTACAAAGTTAGAAAAATCATGTTGATTTGGCAAGACTTGACGGTGTGAAAATTCTAGAGAATTTCACATTGCAAGTTATTGAACCATTTAATCTTGCTGGACCACTTGCTCCTCACCACTGGGTTTGAGTCCTGTCAGGGACTTTGGTAGATTCTTTCTGTTCAGCTAGCTTACTGGGAAGGTCAGTGGTTCTACTCAGATATGCTCGCGTCTCGAATAATACACAAAGGGACACAGGAAGTCTAAGTTGAATAAACTCCTTTAGTATAGCTGGAAAGTATCCATGATTATGACTTGTTATAAGTGCCGGTCTGACTTGAAACACAACTAAAATATAAAAAAATAAAAAGGAAGCCAAAATATGGAAAAGGAAATAGATATTTTCCCCCAATAGGAATATATGTATGTATATTGACTCTATAGGGAAATATAGCTAAATAGATTTACAGATATATACTTATGTCATATTATTCAATCAAGAAAAAAATTACATCCAATACAGAATCTAGCCTTGGGAAAGTTTTAGAAACATTCTGCTACTGTCTAACGCAAATTATGTCACATGATGATGAATTCTGGGAAGGGTTATAGTGCTAAACTGTGTCTGGGGGAAAAAATGTAACGGCCACTGACCAGATATTAACTCCTCAGGGAAATGAGAAAATTGTCATTTCATGGCAATTCATTTAGCTCATGTTGGGAATCTATTCTACTCTTCATTTCGTGACCACAGTGGTAGTTTAAAGCATTCTGTAATTTATGCATTATAATAAAGTGATTTGGTCTTAAAGCAGAATTGATTGAATCCTATTGTTATTATATCACATATCTTGTTGCTAAGGAAGAAAAGGACAGATGATCACTAGGGATAGGTGTCAAATTGTTTGAATTGTTTCCTTCACTTTTGACACAGTCCTCTTAAATCTGGGTTCAGATTCTGTCAAGGACATTGACCTTGTTTGCATGAGCTAACTATCCAGTTGGTAGACTACCAAAGGTAAATGGTGCTGCAGAGTTGGGTTAAGCTACACCTGATTAAATTAAAGGCATTCTAGGAGCATCTTGGACCTTCTTGTTAATTGACCTTGAATGTTGTCATGTGACTATTAAGTGTCAATGTGACAATCCAGCCCAAAAATGTCATTCATAACCAGGGTCAACCAGATTACACATGGCTTCACATGGATTCCTGTCTAATTTAGGTAGTCAGATTTCCAGTGATGCATAATACTTGTACGATTTATTCACATTTTTAAAATGAGACTTTTTTTGGATCAATCATTTTCAACTGCTGATTTAAGGGATTTATATAGTGTGGAAGTTGTTGTTTATTGTGGGGATCATACTACAAGGTGCATAAACTTTTAAAGTCTGCTAAAGTCAAACACATATAAATATAAATAGAATAAAGATTAAAAACACAAAAAAAAATTCAAGTAAACATTAAAAATATGTTTATAAATGTATAAAAGTTACTGTTATACAAACTATTACAATGTTTTCTGGTCCAACAACTTTTAACAACATTTTTATTATAATACAGATCTTCAAAACACCATTAGTTTAATCCAGGACAGGAGAAAAGCAACCATCCATGAATATTTGATGCTTTTGTTACCCTAGTTCTCCAGTTTTACCCTGTATTTATGTCCGGGACTGAATTATCAGTGGACATTAAATCAGGAATCAGCGACATTGATTACTAAAACAATGAGAAATTATTTCATGCCATTCAACATAATAAATTGATAATGAGAGGAAAGATATGTTTGTTTTATAGTGTAGCTGGGAACATCAATATTGTCTCTCATTAATGCCCACTACAATAAGTCTTAGTTAATTGATTTTGATGGTATCCTTTGGTTCACGTTTTGACAGAGAAGATGGTGGATAACATTTCTCATCAGGGGGAAAAAATGAAGATGAATCTCTTTAAATTCTTAAACTGTCTCTGCAGATATATGAGATCCGAAGGTGTTTTAGGGCTGTTGTTTTTTTAAAGATTTTTTTTTAGTCCCCTACCGGTTTAACCGGAGGGGACTTTAGGTTTACCCTCCGTCCGTCTGTCCGTCTGTCTGTCTGTCCGTCTGTCTGTCTGTCTGTCAGTCCGTCAGTCCGTCCGTCCGTCCACAAAACTGGATCCCGCGATAACGCAAAAAGTACTGAAAATAATTTTATGAAACTTGATATATGGATAGATGGCAGTATGGAGATTATGCACGTCTTTTTTTTTTCTTCCTATGTTGAAAATTCTTGTTGCTATGGCAACAAATAGTCTGAAAATATGGCAAATTTAAGACATAAACTGGATCCAGTGATAACTCAAAAAGTACTGAAAATATTTTTATGAAACTTGAAATATGGGTAGATGGCAGTCTGGAGATTATGCACATATTTTTCTTTTCTTCCTATGTTGAAAATTCTGGTTGCTATGGCAACAAATAGCCTGAATTTCAAGATTTCTGATTTAAATTTTTTAGCTTTTTCACTATATGTTCTTTATTTCTTAAGGTGTTTACTTCAAACTTTAAATATAAGTTTCTGGTCATCAACCACATCATATGTGACAAGGTTTATAACTCTAGCACAAAAAATATCAGTATTACCTCCCTTGAACTTAGATTTTTTAGGGGAAAAAATGTTGTCTTTTTTAAATAACTTCTTTATTTCCTAATGTATCTACTTCAAACTTCATATACATGTATATGTTTCTTATTATCACTCGACATTTTTGAGAAGGTTAAATACTCTAGCAAGACTATTTCCAGAATTATGTCCCCCTTGAACTTAGATTTTTTTCGAGAAACTGGTATTTTCACTCCAACTTCTTCATTCCTTATAGAATTTACTTTAAAATCCCACATCGTAATAATATGACAAGGTTGTATAAACATAATTTCCTTACTAAGCATGGAAACTTAACACATTACTGTGATATAGACAAACTTATTTTATTATGTTTTGTGGTTGATATTTTCAAATACAGACTTCATCCTCAAATTCATTATAAATGGCAATACACAGGAGTGTATGACAATTAAAGAACTTTTTGAGGGACCGGTAGGGGACTACTGTATTGCCCGCAATACTATCAAATGCTTGTTTTTGAAGATTTTTCCATTCTGTCAATTTTGATATTCTAATTTGCTCTCAATTCCTTTGATATTGGTCTGATAGTTTTCAAGTCCAAATCGGATTCTTTTCTGTGGTGAGCAGTGTCCAATTTATGGAAAGTCAAAAGTCTTACTCAGGTGCCAATTAGGTTGTCTTCAACAACCAGTAAAGCCCGACACAATTCCCATAAAAATGCCCTTTACTCAGGTACTCAGTAATTGTTGTGCCTAAGATAGTGCATGAAGGGCATCCTTAGGTCTTTTTCAACAAGTTAAACAATTGACCATATTGCCTTACAGAAAAAAGAAAAGATAAAAAAGCCAATGTCCAATTTAATACTATCTCTAGAGCTGTAAGCGGTTCATGATTTTGATTCATGTTTTGCTTTTTTTTTCAGAGTTTGGTTAAGAATTATGACCAGGATATGGACACCCTTACCAAACAACAGAAACAACAAGTTGAGAAAGCTGAGGGCAGCCAGTCAATCGATCTTAGAACTGCAGCCAAACGTATCAAAATTGAACAGGTAAAATATGTATCTAATTTCTGTTAACAGCTTGCTGACTTATTTAATGGTTTAAAGCTAAAATGCTTCAGATGACCCAAAATATTTCAAGAAAATCAAAATTAAGAAAAAATGTACCCAAAATTTTCAGAATGGTTAAAAGATTTAAGATTCAAGAAATAATATACTTGTTATATGCGATTAATGACTGAGTTTTGCAGAATTATAAACATATTTCTACTGCATGAGTAACACATTGAGGGCTATTTTTGAGAATTTGACCTCTTTTAGGTAATATATGTGGATTGTAAGTTCCTCTTGCTTTGTGCAAATAACTTTCTTTGTTTATTTGACAATATTTTACTTTAAAATATATTTTCAAAATTTCATGAACATTTGCATGAATATGAAGGCATGCTGCTTTTAAGGTCAAGTGAACATGTTTTTTAGCTGAATGGAGATGTAAGCTTAAGATTTTATTTGAGTCACTCTATATGTCTGCCATATTTTGACCTCCGGTAATGCTCAAACTTGCAGTGTTTGGTTTATTGGCCAACACCTTTACCACTAGGACATCTCTCTTTTGTCAGAAGTGAGCGATTGTAATGTGTCAAAAGTTTGAAGCTTGGTTATTCAGAATTCATGTTTCTTTAGAAAAATGGCTATCATTGAAATTAAAATTGCATAAATAGTAATTTCTGTTTTAGGAAAAAGAATATAAGATGTTTAAAGAGAAGCAGAAACAGGATAGGAAATTGATGCAACAAGAGTTTGACATGATGGCAAAAACAGCAAAGAAAGAAGATGTACGCAAAAGAAAGGAACAGAAAGAAATACAGTTACAAGAAGAGGTAAATTGATAAATTTACGGGGAGGTGGAGACATATAGCATTTGAATCTGCTTTACATAAAATTTAGTTCTGTATAATTTGATATAATCTTTAAGTTATGTCATCTTCAGAGCTCAAATTTACAAATTTACTCTATACAATTTCCGACTCAGATAATACTCTTGGGTAATAGGTAAAAGTATATCTTGCTGTCTGCTGTGAAAAGTTTGACTTTCATGATAAGAATATTCTTTTGAGAATTTCTTTATTAATGTTTTTTCTGTGTAAGATCCATCAATTTGCACACTGGTTTAGATTCAGATCCCAATTTATCTGGTTGAAATTGATCTTATTTGGTATATTTATGTGATGATAAGTAGAATATATTTGTTTAGGTTCATTACTAAATTTATTGAAATCGAGTAAAATAATATTATTATAATTTTATTCAACTTGTTAAATAGTTTCAGTATTGAATCTACACTCATTTATTATCCTCTATATTTACTTAAATTTATTGTGACAGTTGCATAATAATGTGCATTGTTGTAAAAAGATTGCTGGTCGAAATATTCTTATAACGTAATTAAATATAAATCCATGTTCTCTTTAATCTTTTATTATAAGCAGCTCCTTAACAGATTTGTAATAAGATTTTGCATAGTCATTTGTTGTGATAAGATTCGGGAATTTGTGCAAATCCTACATTATACTGAACGTTTCACAAAATGATTGTCATTTAGTAATAGCCCTGTTGCTTATTGTGTGAATTTTGTGATTTAGAAATAATTTGGTTGAATATTGGCTTTTTTTCTTTCTTCCCACATACACATTAGCAGAAATCCTGTTTTTGTGACAGTTTCATGTCACTTGTTTTAAATTGCTACCCTGAAGATGAGATTTCAGTCAGTATGACCTTGACTATAATAATTCCAAGGCCAAATAGAGACAAAAGTGCTCCGATATATCATCCTAAAGCCAGTTAGATATTAATATATTGTCTGTGTGTGTCTGTGTTTTTTTTAATATATAAAATACAACAATATAAAAGAACCAGACAGATATTTCACTTCTGTCACATTAAGATCATGTGATACTTATTGTTGGTATTTTTCCTGTAAATTTCTGTCAAAGATATCTGCTGGGGATCGAGACATTTATATGTGTTTAAACTGTATAACAAATACTTTTGTATGAACTTTTTTTTTTACTTTTATATAATCATGTGACATAAAGAAGGCACAAGCATGGTTGGGTTTTTGACTGAATAGTTTGACTGTCCCTACTGTGGGCTTACATACTGTTAAATGTTTAAAGTGAAAGTAGGCATTCCTAAACAACACTCCCCATGTGGCTGAGGGGTTGACTTTAAGAGTCAAGGCATCAGAATTCCAGCCACCGTTTATCTCTATGTGATCGTAAGAGGGAACTAAATGGGTTAAAATTGCTGGAATCTATGCACTTTTACATCCAGCAGGTGAGGTGGTTTAGACCCCTGGTGTTGTTTTAAGTTTGGTAGCCAATAATATAATATCGTCTTTCCTATTTCTGTGTGTAATGACCTAAATTTTGTTGGTGTGGCCTGAAACCAAATAAATAAAAATCATAAACAACAGAGTTTGAGTAAGTTATGTCAAGAGTGAAGTGACATAGATCTGTCATCATTCTATTGAGCAGTTATAATAAGTTAGTTAAAATTTATAATTTTGTGGTTGAGTAGTATTAAATATCTTTATATGCACAGTATATAGGAGCCTCACACAATGAGTTGACTTCTTTAGGTATTTAGTATGTAGTAGTATTAAAGTAGATAATAATGTATATTATGCTTACAAATGATGTATATTATGTTTACAGGAAAGATGTTTCTTGGAGAATCAACAAGAACGTATGGACAAACATATGAAACAGTTGACAGAGACGCACAGACAGAAAATAGCCATGCTAGAAAGCCAATTCTTGCAACAAAAACAACAACTTCTGAGAGGTAATATTCCGTCCATTCACTTAATATTTTTGGCTCTTTGCGCCAAGAATTTAATGCTAGATCAGAACTAAGTGTATTTTCATAAATAGGCCATGTCATTGATAATAAAAAGGTAACCAGATGTTAAAACTTCTGCTGGTTTTCTTCATTGTGATCTTTTAAAATATTTTAGATTGTTTTGAAAAGGTATTAAGATGTTGATGAAAGAAAACTGTAGGAGAGTGTCAATTCCACTATCAAATATTTTATTTCTTATTCACATTACACAAAGAAATGTCACAGTGAAGTCAATTATTAAAAAGAAACCCCATATCATTTAATGGGGCCAAAAATGTATCTTTATTTCATTCTTTGTTCTTATTTCATTGTTGAGCATAAAGGGGGAGGTATGACTGATTGATTACTGTTATGTAATCAACATTGTCACCACATCTAACCTGTATGGGTTTGAATCTTATCAGAGACTTTGGATTCTTTCATGTGTGTGGAAGCTATTGACCTAGTTTACAGGATGTTGGTGGTACAACTCAGTAGTACATGACCGAGTTCCTTAAGTATTTCTTCACCAGTACATATATTGCTTGTTCTTCTCTTTAATACATGATACATGGTAGGGTATCTAAAGTCTTTCTCCACAAAAAAGCTGGAAAGTCACCATTTAAAGTTACACTATGTCAGTGTGACAACCAGAAAAATAACAGCAAGAAAATAAAAATGTATATTTCAGCTCGTGAAGCAGCAATATGGGAGTTAGAGAAACAACAGTTACATGAAAAACACCAACTTGCCAAAAGTCAATTAAAAGACATGTTCTTCTTAAAGAGACACCAGATGCTGACCAGACACCAAAAGGTATTGTTTACTCTTTACCATCACCTACAATTATGTCTTGTGTATACCACCAGTAAATGGCCAGTCCAGTATGCCCTTTCTATAAATTTGTTGAAAAGATGATTTGAGCCGCGTCACTACAAAACCAACATAATGGGTTTGCGACCAGCATGGATCCAGACCAGCCTGCGCATCCGTGCAGTCTGATCAGGATCCATGCTGTTCGCTTACAAACCCTATTACAATTAGAGAAACTGATTGCGAACAGCATGGATCCTGATCAGACTGCGCGGATACGCAGGCTGATCTGGATCCATGCTGGTCGCAAACCCATTATGTTGGTTTTGTAGTGACACGGATCATTTTATTTCTATGTTAATTAATCACCATTATAATCAGGGAAAGAGATAGTTTGATTATCATCTGGAAGTGGGTGTCATTGAAGCTGAAGCATCAAATCTGATAAAGAAAAAAAGTAATGTTTATTTCATGCGGAAAATGTTTATTCAATCTGATATATTGAGAAAATCTTTATTGATGCACAACACAACTGTAGTTAAAACGTGACATTTTAGCTCGCATCCATCGTGGCTTATTTCCTCATTGATTTTCCTAGTATCACTATTTACCTGCTCTGTTTGTGAGATGAATCAAATTTAATTTCAAACATTGTATTCGCTGTTCTAACAAAGTAATAGAATCTGAATTAATGTTGCTGTTTTTCTGTGGAATAAGATTTCATTTTCATATTACTAACTAGAAAAGACTACAAAATAGAAAAGAAAAAGATGAAATTTGATCATTATTCTCTATAAGATCCATTGGTGTTTAATAGAGGAGGGATTGAAAGCTGTATAGTGTTTTGATTTAACCTTTAATCCAAAGAATGTTTTAGATGGACTTGTCCAGCTTCTATTTTTAGAACTGTCAATGGTCAAATTTAGTCGGCCAACAGTATAGAGCCATGTTCTCTAAGAAAAGATTTGGATCAAATGATCCTGATATTAATTTCATTGCTTTACAAAACTAAAAATGATCGTATTTTTCTAGAATGAAGTGGCACATAAACAAAATGTAAAAAATTACTGATTTGCAAAGAAACAACTCTATTTTAGGATTTTAGCATCAAAATAAGGATCAATTTTAGAATCAAGATCAGTATTCTGATCAACTGTAAAATGCCCATATCTTGTAAAAATAACAATTAATTTATTCTAAATTTTCATAAACTTGACATTTCAAGTCCAATTTAATCATTTAATCAAGTTAATTCTAAATATTTAATCTATGAGGATGAACAATAGAAATTATTTGAGTTTCAAAATTTGATCCTGATCTTTAAATGTAAGTGAATATAGGGCTGGGCCAGACTGCACATAATGTACAGGCTTGTTTGGCTTTATTCAAGTGTTGAAAGCCAATCTCGTCTTGTTTCAGTACGGTAACCCGATGCTTTTAGGGACTTGAACATAGTTCTTGATTCTTAAACGGTGGTAAAAAAAACCCCAGTTACTGGTATTGTTGTTTTAGGCACATAGCATCACCCATTGATAAGGGGTATTTTCACAAATTAAAGAATTCTCCCTCTTTTTGATGTCAGAACTCCCTTCATTTATTGCAAATTCTAAAATCTCCCTCTTTTTGAAGAAAAATCTCCCACGTGATCATTGAAAAAAGTTCACATGTATGCTTTATTTATAAAAAAATATAATACAATTCATGTCTGCATTTATTTGATGTTAAAATTGCTTCAATAATGAGATATTGCATCTTATATTGATTAATATGATCTCCTCAGTGTATGAGAATTTATTCTTAGAAACATTTTCATTGATTTTTATCTTTTAAATGTCAAAACTATTATCTGTTAAAGATTTCAAATTTTAAAACTTAGCCAGGAAACTATTCTCTTTATTTATTTCAATATTGATTTTTTTCCATGATATATATTTAAAGCATCTAAAGTTTATACTAGTGAAGTTGAATACGCCGTAAAGGATAACAGAACTGAAATATGATAGTGTTTTCAATGCAAAGCCTTTACCATATAACCATAAATTAGTTACTTTAATGGAGCAGCCTTGTAAAACAAGAATGACCTGTTTCAGCTTGAAATACAAGAATAAAGAACAATTAACGAAGACAAAAGCTTTTATAAAAAGCCTATAAACTCTTTTTGCTTAAGTGGCAGTATTAATTTGTAGATCAATATATTTCTCACGGTGAGTGAAGAAGCATAGAAAATGATTACTGATGAAGATACCTTGCTTTGAGGTTATAAATGTTGTGTCTCAAATCTCAGGATTTTCATTGGTTAGTGTACATTCTGTGGCAGTTTCTGACCAATCAAATACCTGAGCCTAGATAATTTCTTAATAGCTTCGAACAATGGATTTTCAAGTCATTCTAGTGTTAAAATTCACAATTCCATCAGTAAAAGAGATTAACCAGGTTGTATATAAACACTACACTGATCTCTATCCAATTTCAGCATTTTGATATTGATATCCCCAAAACTTATCGTTGACAGTGTCATAATATTAAAACTGGATATCACACTAAAATTGTCACACTACAAAATATTTAGGCAAGCTGTGAGTGGGTCATTTATAAAAAGAATAAATCTGCTGTTTTGATTAAATTACAACAAAAGTTGCATTAAAACTTTATCGTTAATTTAACAAGCATTAAAACATTTTTACGTTACTTTAACAAGCATTTAAACATTATCGTGAATTTAACAGGAAATAGAACAGATGAAGAGAAGTAACCAATCAAAGGAGGAGGAGATGCAGCATCGTCACGCGCTCGAGAAGAAACGTCTTCCTAAAATACTCAAACAAGAGTCGAAAACACGCTCGCTCATGTTCAAGCAGAGCTTGAGATTGAGTGTTCCTGGTAACCCGGATGATGAAAGGTCAAAGTTGAAACAGGTATACTGAAGCCATATTAGTTGATAAGTAATCAAAATAAGAGGAAAACAGAGAAGTACAACACGTCAATAAGTAATATAGATAGTTTGGAGAAAATGTAAAAAAGAAAAAAAAACAGAAAAGGAATTGCTAAGAAAATGTTATAAGGCTTCATAAGATGATATTTGTTGGAACACTTAAATATCGGTTAATTAGACTTGTTGAAAAGACTTTGATAGTTTTCATCAGATCACGTTCCATAAGGTTCTTTATTGGCAAGTTATAAAAACAAAGATCTTCATATAGGATGAATAAGAATATACATGTAGTTTGATTTGCCCCTCGCCTTTTAACAGAATAATCCTTCTATTATAAGCATACCCTGCCTGGTGAAGGTCAATATGGTTTCTATGCAGTGGAATTCTAATGTAGATCTTAATACAGACTGTAGTGTGAATTAGGTGTAGACAAAAATTACAAAAAGTCTTTTCTTCTAAACGAAACTTAGTTTGATTATAATTGAAAACTCAGTGTTTCAGGTTTAAGTAAATACATGTACTTGATGCATATTTTTGTTTATATTTTAAAACTAGTTTGAAGAGAATGAGAAGAAGAGAATGAAGGCGGAGCAAGCACGTCAGGAGAACAAACACAAGAAACAGTGGGAGGAGCTTGTATACAGGAATGAAACTAGTTTACGTGAACTAGAACAATTACAGGTATGTGATACTTGTGTTTGAACAGTTCTCTGCTGAAACAGAAAGTAGTTAGTCTTTTAGCCTTTGTCACAATTATATACTGGTTCTTGCTAGAATTTATCCATAAATACTATTTCAATTAAGTTTTAACATTAATGTTTTAAAGGATTTACATGTACATGTTGTTATTGTAATATAAACTGCAGTGCCGTTTACTGATTCTCGAGAAAATTACTTTTGTAGAAACAGCATTAAGGAATGGATATCCTTTTAAATTGCTTAGAAAACAACTACAGGCTATATTGGATTTCTTCACAATTTCATCAGAATTATGGTGTGCCTGTAATCACCACAGCTCAATTACATATTCAATGCATATCCTGGCTGCATAAATGTATTTCTCCAACAGAAAAAAAGATGAGTTACATGAACTCTATTTGGATATGTCAATGCCCGTGCTTCAAATCTAGGTTGTCAATTTCCTATTCCAAAGTACTCTGCACATTTCTTTTTGAGTTTGACGTTTTCACTGCTGTCATCTGCTGATAAGATTGAATCTGTGTGCTTGAGCGCTTGATTGAGTGGAGTACTTGATTGAAATTTGTGTTTATAGATAATACTGCTTGATTCATGTTGTAACTTTTTGTGTTAAATGATTGAATCAGTATTACATTAGGAATACAACTATGATTGTTTGTCTAGATAAGTTGTTTACTTTATGGTTTGTTTGGATGCGTAGAAATTTTTATTGATATCAGGAAGGTGTTTCTTAAAATAAACTGACCACACACATGTATGACACGTAATACATTAGTAATGCATGTTTTTATGTCCCCGATAAGTGTTTTTAAACAGTGTCATAAATGATATTTGAGCAGAAAAAGTCTTTAGATCCACAAGGTCAAGGTCATTTATGAGTGAAGGTCATAATCAATTTGGTCTGCTTGAAGGTCTTGTCCAAAGGGTTGTTGTGTCCAAGTATGAAGAAAATCCATCAAGAAATCTATAAGTAATTGCTAAAATTTTCGGCTGGGAACGGAAGAAGTCAAGCTAATAATCTACTCATTTCACTTTTTAAATAATATTTTGTTACATTTCCTGCAAAGCAGCTATCACCATTGTAACCACAAAATAATGATGATGGCTGGTAAGTTAATATTGTAAATAAAAAACAAAACTTGGAGGGAAGTATTGGCCTTGGTTTTAGTCTGGCGAATGGGATACCAAATTAAATACAAGTGTGCAAGTAAATGCTGAAATTAAAGTGTTTGGCTTTTGATCGGAGCATAATTATGCGGAAGTAATTGTTTGGAGTTAAGTAGTTTGGTACATACACCAGAGAACCTCTTACATGATTGGTTAAAACATTTACCTTCCGCCATATTAATTATCCACTTGAAATTATTGCATACAACAAATGAATTATGATAACATAAGTCAGTTTCTAATTAATCTGAAACTCAGTTGATGATTAAGTGGCTACTCAAAAACTTTTTTCTTCCTGAAGTAAAAAAAACAAAACAAAACTACAAAAAAAAACCCCAACAAAACTAGGTTATATTTTAACTGTTATATTTTCCCAAGGGCATTTAAAAACAGTCTTTGTTTTGAAATTTATAGTAAATTAATTTTGATGTTTTGAGTAAACATTTAATGTTTTTTTGTTTCATCATAGATATTGATATCTTTATTATTATCAATTATCATTTTATTATTATTATCATCATTATCATGTTATGTGATATTTGATGACTAGTTGTTACATTTGATATTCTTATAGTACTATTTTATACATAGATTGTTACCTTCATGCCACTCTCTGGCTGAATGGTTAAATGTCACTGACTTCTAATCACTTGCCTGGTACTACTGTGGGTTAAAAACCAACCAAGTACTTTAAGGTTCCTTCATGCGAGAAATCTATACAGCTAGCCTATTGACCATTGGTTGTTCTACTTGAAGTTCCTATTGTCTGAAGCAATGGAAGAAAAACTAAATAACCCTTATTGGCTAAATATCATAAATGAATTTCCCATCTTTGAGTCTGAATTTGACCATTTTCATCATTTTTAGGGAAAAAAAAGTATGCACTGACTTGGTAGCAAGCACTGCAGACCATGGTCAAATGGCATTGATGTGCAGGCTGATTTTGGTCTGCATTGGTCACATAGGTAGAGCCTGTAGCCTGCCAACAGGCTAAGGGTTAAAAGTTGCAAAGGGACTTAAAACACAACTTCATTTAATGCTCTGTTGTTATATTAGTTAACTTACCTTTAATAATATGTATCATTTGATATATTAATGTAATGTTCAATGCTGTATTAAATGGACTTCACTTCGATTTTGTATATGATATTTTATTGTTACATTAGATTTTGTATGGATACATTATGGATGTTTTGATGTTATATATATTATATGTTGTTATGTTTGACATTACAGGCAGAGAAGAGAAAGATGTTGATGGAGCATGAGACACAGAAGATCAAAGAACTTGAGGAACAATATTCCAATGAACTCAGGGAATGGAAAGCTATGCTCATACCAAGAAAACAGGTACCAAAAGTTTGCTTTATCATATTATCATGTTGTTGGTCAAAATTTGTTTTTGTTTTGTAATATGTTAACCTCCAGCTTTGAATATGTTAACCTCTGATTTGAATATGTTAACCTCTAGCTTTGAATATGTTGGCCTCTTGCTTTGAATATGTTGACCTCTAGCTTTGAATATGTTAACCGTTAGCTTTGAATATAATTATTAACCTCTAGGTTGAGATTCTCACAACTTTCTTTGTGTTGTGTTTCTTTCTTTTTCTTGTTTTTACGCAATTTAAACATTTTTTTTCGGTCTATTTTGCCATGATGTGTCTTTTATTTTCTGGCTTTTAATTTTTTGCTTACTGTGTTCACTGTATGAATATAAGCCCTAAACCTGCTAAAGTTGTGAATATTTATTTGCCTTGCTTTAAATTAGGATTTTTTTTCTGAAGTGATTTCAATATTAAAATACAAAAATTGTGCTACAAACAGTATAGAGCCTGGTCAGACTGCAGACTGTGTAGATTCAAGACTGGGCAGTATTTATACTGGTGGCATTGACTGATCAGTTTTGATTCCGGCAGGCTAAGGGATAGTTTCATGTGCATCCACGCATAACATACTTATTGTTGTCTTTTATATAGCTAGATTATAAGTATGAGTTTTAGCATGCTTTGTTTCCTTGGTTTTTAGCTCATCTTTTTCTAAGAAAAATGCAAGCTATTATGATCGCTGCGTCGCTGTCTTACAAATATATTAATATAGCCCAATATTCAAACATTTTTGAAAGTTATCAACATAAAACTTGAAATACTTGCTTATCATGACAAGAGGCAGTTGTAAAACAAGGGGGCTATATGTTTGGAGTTATGCCCCCTTTTAACATGGAATTTTGTCAGAAGTGGTTATTTTAACAGACGAGCATTAACACCACATGCGGTGCTCTTGTTTATTTTGTAATATTTGGTTTAATTTGGAGTCCCTTTTTTTTTAACAGTATGTTTACCTATTGTCTTGAATACAGGTTAATTTTAGTTTTGTTACATAAAGTGTAGGGTTTATGAAAAACTTTTGTTTCTTCTTTTTTTCATTTTATATAATTTAGGTATTTTTATTATTATACATGTATATTGTAATTGGTGTTTGATATATGTGACAGATAAGGGAGGGTATAATAAATTGAACGTTTTGAAAGAGACCCGTCCCCAAAACATTTGAATCTGATTGGTTTGATTGGGCCAAAACATATACAACTAATTTGTTGATTATGAACATATTTGAAGTTGACTGATAGTGGTGCACCATTTTATGACTGGTCTAGAATTTTTTTTTTATAAACCTGGAAATGAAGGTCTTTGTGAAAAAACAATTCACTTGAAAAGAATGAACAGTTTGTAAGTTGTTTTAAGAAACAGTCTGCAAGAGGTAATCACAATAAGATTAAAAGTTTCTCTCCAATATTTTCAGTTTCTTATGCTGAACAGAAGTAGGATGTCGTTGCCAGATTGAACGACCAAAGTAATTCACATGTAGACCAGATTTCTATAATGTTGTGTCACTTTCAGATCATTAAATTATTATAAAATATGTTCACAGTCAGTATCTTGCATGTCACTTTCTATACCTCCAGTATTTCATTTCAAACTTGGTGTCTAAGTTTTTAGCTTGACTATTCGAAGAATAGAGAGAGCTATTGAACACACTTAGGTATTTCTAACTTAGTTTTTAGCTTGAATAAGAATTCGAAGAGCAAGGAGAGCTATTGTGTCACCTTGGCATCACCGTCACACTTTAATTTAATTCTAGCATTTAAGTTAATATCTCTAAAACTACTAAAGGGTTGACAAACTTATTTGAGTGCATAATAAGAGTCAAACATTAAGGTTCATAACTCTAACATGGATTTGACAGAATTATGTCCCTTTGAGAACTTAAAACTTTTTTTACAACATCCAGGTATTTGTTTACTATCAAGCAATTAAAATATTCAAGCATGCTTTCGTACTCACATCTCTTGTTATGAATATAGTTAGTATTGGTGGTGAATTAAAAAAGAATGGTTATATCTTTTATTTACTCATCTATTCAGATATGTTTCCATCTTTTGAATGGTGAATGTTTTTTTGTGAATGTATTGATAAGTGATACGATTGGGCTAAATGCTTTTGAAAAACTTCCATTTTATTAGAAAAATGGAGTGGATGAAGTTGCAAAACTCTTGTCATAACTTTACTCAGAGTTACTTCATTGACAATTTTTGATAGTGTTATAAGTTCATATATAAATTTTTAAACACAACTCTTTGTTTATTTTCATTTATTGTCAAACTTCACATTTTGATGTTAATGTGTTTTCCTAGGTTATTTGGGACTAGCTAAATCTATTAGATAGCTATATATAAGTATTATTAAGGTTAATTTATTAACATGTAATGGAAATATTTTACATATTTTATTAGTGAAGTACATGAAACCTGAATTATTTCTATGTATCACTCATAGTTAAAAATATAGTGTTTTTTTATTCACCAAAATTTTGTTAAAAATAGTTATAGAAGTTACATATTAGTTGTATTTTTTGTCTAGATTGATAAAGTGTCTTAGTTTTAAGAAAAGTTCTGTAATGTGATTTACTCTAACCTTTGCTGGTGAAAATATTTTAAATATTTCACTTCTTAATAATACATATCTTCACTTCTTATTGATATATATCTCATTATACTAACTGAAACAAACATATACCATAATACCATCTATCTTGAAAAGTGATAATAACCAAAGGCATTTTGATGATAGCATTATTTGTATTCGATATAAATACCGGTTATCAATTTTCTTTATTTCACATTTGATATACAGTATGTATACAATTATTTTTGTTGTATATTTACAGAGATTGGAGGATGAGTTTGCAAAACAGCGTGATGAGCAAGAGAAATTTTACGGTGCTGTAGTGATGACAGGGGAGAACACGTACGTGCCCCGGTCGGCACCGAACAGTATGCGACACAAAACGGATTCTATAGCTTCCCGACACAGTACTGTGATTTAGTATACGCTTATAGCAAATTAGTCAATAGTATATATTCACCATACTGGTAATAATATGAATGGTTGCAGATAGCCTTCGAGAGAATTATATACAAACTCCGAACTTGGTATGGAATATATATAGCCTAATTAAAGCCAAGACTTATTTTGACTTCGTTAGAAGTATAAATACTTGCACCAAGTTTCATTGACATGTGTTCATTTTCTGTGATACAAGAAAAATGGAAGTGTGTGTTTGCACAGTATGGAAAGCAGGAGCGGAAAATGTTGTTTTTTCGATGCCGATATTTTATTTTATTTAGTCGCAAACTGAAAGAAAGTTTGTTCAGAAATGAATATACAGTAAAACCTGTGTTAAAAGACCATCTCTAAATAAAGATCACCCTGTAAATAAAGTCAACTTTACAGCAATTCCTTATTAATTTCAAAGAAGAAAATGACCTCCAAATAAAGTCCACTTGTTCATTAAGGCCATGTTTGGTCTCTCTCTGGTATGACCTTTTTTCACAGGTTTAACTGTACTTCATACATAGATGGTACTTCTTATAATATATAAAACTGTTCTAGGAGATGGAGAACAGTTCTGGAGTAAAGTGAATGCCAAATACTTTTGATAAATGCACAAAATCTTCAAAGACTAAGAATGGACCCCATGAAGGGATCTAATTTTGGAGAAGAATTCATCCCATATAACTGGGAAGAGGTTAGACAGCATATGACTCAATTCTTATAGATTTGATCGAATTTGTACAGACTTTCTTGGAAAATTACTCCCTGAAATTACAATAAACATTACATAAAAAATAATAATTCTAAAAATAAACCCCATGGATTTCATACTTTGTGCCAATAAGAGAGTTTTTCTGAATAAAGTCTGTACAAATGTTGTCAAATCTATACTGTTTATTTATGACACAAAAAAATAATTGTTTTTGCTTTGCTTTTTGAAGAGTAGAATTATAATTATATCACTTTATGTGAGAAAAAACAATATAGAATATGAAATGAGCAAGTTAACCATTGTTGTTTTTTTGTCTGCACTTTGTAAATTGTGCACCACTAATCTTCTGAAAGACCTTTGTGTATTAATGACTTAATATTAGTAACTCAAGAGCATATCATTGTAGTGTTTGTGTAATGAATGAATGGGAGAATATGATTAAATGATGAAATTCCAAATCATTCTATTTATAGATTTGTTACTATTATTAGAATACCTTTGCACATTTATTTCACCCTAAGCCTTCTGTATTTGTGTAATGGGTTTGCCCTGCTTTGAATTTAGAACAGTCCATTTAAAATTTAAGGGATTTGAATATCAAAATATGAAATATAAAAAATCAGCTACCAAATAGTATTGAACCTGGTCAGACCGCATGGATGGGCAGGCTGGCCCGGCTCTATACTGGTGGCAAAGGCTAATCAGTTACAGTTCCAGCAGGTTGAGGGTTATAGAGAAAAACTTCACATGATCATTTTCTAGCAAAACCAATTTTATAGGAATACTAGTCTTGTATAATACTTTTTACATCTTCACTTAAAGCTGTCATTTTTATATATAAAAAGGATCTTTGTAAAAGATTGAATATAATAATAATGATATAATTGTTAGGTCACAGTGTTTAAACTAAAATTCCATAAGCAGTGTAACTACGTATGGTGTAACTTTGCTTAGATTTCATAAATTCTATGTTTTTTAAAGAAGATTTGTTAAGAAATAACTGATTGTTGCCAATGTATTTTTACTACTGTTAGTGCTAAAAGAATGTCTTTTTCTACAATATTATAATGATGTGCTGAATAAATACAACTTGGCCATTTTTTCCATGTTTGTGTGTTATTGTTGTTTTAGGATAAAACAAATGAAAATACAATTGTTTTTGATTACATTTCATATTTTGTCAGTTACATTGGTAACATTTGAGTGTTAACAAACTTATTTCTAGTTATATGACTATATCTTAGTGGCATGTCACATGGCTACATTTGAGTGTTTGGTACAAGTAGCATGTCACATGGCTAATTTTGTGTGTTTGGTGCATATGAAATGTCACATGGCTTAATTTGCAGGTTTGGCACATATGACCTATGACTTGGCTGAATTTGTGTCTTTGGTACATATGACATGTCACATGGCTGAATTTTAGTGTTTGGTACAAAGAACATGTCACATGGCTAAAATTGAGTGTTTGGCACATATGACATGTCATGTGGCTAAAATTGAGTGTTTGGCACATATGGCATGTCACATGGCTGGATTTTAGTGTTTGGTACAAAGACAATGTCACATGGCTAAAATTGAGTGTTTCATACTCATTGCATGTCACATGACTAGATTTGTGTGTTTTGTACTCGTTACAGGTCACATGTCTAGGTACTCATTACATGTCACATTACTGGATTTATGTGTCAGATACTAGGTACTTTTTTAACACATTTAAATCAGACAAATTTAGCAAAATGATAATGTGAATGTTAAATGACAATTGTATTTGAATGTTAAATGACAATTGTATGTGATGTAGCTTTGTATGGATATATAACATATTTATGTGGACTTTCATGTACCCTGCTGGATATTTTAACTTCTTATAAATGTGAGATGATCTAACTGTTATAACCATTGAAATGACTTATATGTATATCAAATACAGTGTAAAAAAGATCTGCCTATCAACAAAATGCCACTAATGCTACTTATGACTTGTTTTTCTCTATGAGATTAAAACAGTTATCATAAATCAAAACTTGGAGAAAAGAAAACAGCATCATGGTACAAGTTTGTTTAACAAAGGGTGAATATGATGATAAATTAGTGTCATATTTAGTGGCTGTATAAATCCTACCTTAAGTTTTGAGGGGTAGTGATTATGCAAATTAAAAATGGCATCTTTGACAAAGAGACAAAGTTAACATTTAAAATATTATTTAGAACTTTTACTGAAACAGTTTTAAGTTGTGGGTGGAATGGAATTGTTAAATTTTTAATGTGTAACAAAAGATACAGACAGGTCTTTTTTTTTCTTTTCTTTTTAACTAGACAATTAACAGGAAAGGTGGTCAGTTTTATTACTTGTTTCTGAGGGGGTCTATTTTTATTTCACATTATTATACAGGGACACATGAAGAAGTTATTTATCTATACAAAGTTACTGTACTACATTGTTTTTAATGTATGTTCAACTGTCTAATGTTGTCAAAAATTGTTTTTCACTGTTCACAATGTGTTCCATCAGTGCTTTCCTAGTCTTAACAATGTTACTGTTTATCTATATACACTTTATACATTTTTATAAATGATTATGTTTAATTAAATTGTGAAAAAGAATGCAAACACAGCTCAAAATTATGCCTCAATTGATAAAATTTGCATTACTTATTGAAATAGGTGAGCATAAAAATACATGTTAAAATTTTTAAAGATTTACTCAATAAGCATGATGATAAGAATTTTTAACACAATATTTAAAGTTGTGGTTCATAAAAAAATCTTTATTGCACTAATATTAAGTTAAATCATCAAATCTCGAAATGGTAGAATTTTTTTCGACTTTAATATTTCTCGTCATGTATCTTTGGATTATATTGTCTGACTGAATGTTTTATTCCCAGATCTAAGACTAATTTTCACAATGAAAAATTGGATTATTTTTGTTTGACTGAAAATTCAATGAATGCTTTACTCCCAGGAGCACACCCACTTGCACCTTTTTTGTTTTCCTTCATTAAACTTGCAACAGGAGTTTTCAAATATTTGACGCTTCTTCATAAATTTCTCAGGCAACCAAAACGGGGGAAAAATTAAACATATCTTAGTGCAGTTAATCTATATCAAATAAAGGAAAGCTTTAGAGTTCACAAGGAAAATATCTCTGGCTTAAATATATATATAAAAACATAGTGCATTTTTGCTGTGAATCTTTGATTTGAAGTAGTGTTATTTTGTATTGCTTTTTATTGCTTAAAGCAAAATTTAACTTTTTGAGATGTTTTTCTCATTTCTTGAGAAAAAATGGAGATTTTTCCGAGAAGATTTTGACATTCCATTTTCTGTGAGAAAAAAAAAAATAGAATTGAAAATATATTCGCTATATTTAATTATCTTTAGTTTTTGTCCGCTTCTTTTATTTGCATGAGAGTTTAACATGATAATTTGTTTGTGCTATCTATATATGATACAAAATAAAATATAAATTTATATCTTTATATATATACATATATATAAATTTAATTATTTTTAAAATCCTTTGTAAGACTATGTAAGGCTTGTCCCTTAAAAAATGTTTGTTTTGTTGGTAATAGCCCCATATTTCGTAGCCATAGGTGGGCATCTATGTTGTTTTCTTTCCTACATTTTTTAAAGGACAAAAGTCAGAAAAACAGCAAATTAGGAAAAGATTGTTTTATTGTTGATGCAGGAATAGTCACATGACTCAGAACTTGAATGCTTTGGTCACGTGACTTCTAACTTGAAAGTTTTGGTCACATGACTCTTAACTTGAATGCTTTAGTCACATGACTTTGAACCTGTTATTTCTCTAAGGCCAGCTTCGTTGAATGGCCTATATGAAAAATAACTTGTGTTTTTTTTTGTCAGCAGACAAAGGTGTTTTTTAACAATTTTAAATTTAGTAGCAGATTTCTTCTATGAAAATTTCTGCATACTTAAATGATTTGACACAATTATTGTAATGAAAAAAATTGTTACCAGATTATTTACTGTTGAAATGAAACTATCCATTTACATAAAGATTTACAAGATTGATTTAAAGATGTTTAATTATGTTAAGATATACATATTAGATTATTTTTTGTCTTGTCCCATGTTTAGAACCGGTAAATGTAAAATACTGTATAATTTATGATTTGTAAATTTTCGTATTACTTTTTAGAGGATATTCTGCTCTCAAAGCTTAAATTGTTCATGGCTAAATTGTAATCATTTTCAAAGTCATTGGATACTTTTTTTTTTTTCTGAATATTTTAACTTGCTTTGTTATGTTACCTTTTAACATTTATCAAAATTTTTTCTCTATCTTTATCATAAATCTTTCCTTTTAGAAATGATGATAAGTTTAATTTAAATTTGCATGCAACAGTTAGATATAGTAGTAAGGGCAGAATGAACACTGTTCTTAAAGGGACTCAACTGAGGTTGTTTTTTTTTAACATGACTGGACTGGAAATATTTCAAATAATTTTTCGAGGTAAATGTTTCATTTGAAGAAGGGTAATGCCAATACCTTTTGTGCAAATTTTCAGATAATTAGCTTACTCCGTTTTTCCAGAATGATTATTGTGAAAAATAATGATTATTCTTCTTGTGGAAAATGACCAAAAATTGAAAAGCCTTGCAACACTTTTCACTCTAATAGGGATAAGTATACCACAAAAATACGATTTTTGAATTTATTTTTGAGTATTTCTTAATTATCTTTAACATAATTTTCTGTTTAAAAGGCACCAGCTTATCCATTTTAAGAAATCTAATTTCATGTTTTTTGGCCTTTGGACCTCAGTGGAGTTTCTTTAATAGAACTTATTTAATTATTTAAACCTTGCATATTTATGAAATATGGTTACAGAAACATTATTAAGCAAAATTAATAAATTAAGGGTCACTTGACTGATTTTTTGAGTTAACTGCCCTTGAATGCCCAAAATGTAAGCCTTTGATGAAAAAGTTTTATTGAAGGTCTGAATAACAAATTCTCAATAGTTTGTAAAGTGTGGCAACAGTGTTTCTAAACCCCTTATAATTTTTTTGTCTGGCCTAATTTGTTGTATTAAGATTATCAGTGCACACACTTTAAGCTATATAAATATGTACATGTATATACACACACATGCCTTTATAATCAAGCGTGTAATCGTAAAAATTTTAAGTCTGGAAATTATAGTTAAATGTTTTTGTTTCCTTTGTACAAAATGTAAAATATCGTAATTGTTGTATATGTAGATATTATTTATCGTTTTTTAGCATATTTTGTTAACTTTTTTGTTGTGTCAAATAATTTTTGGAGTTATTGTGCCAGCAAAGGGTATAGACTTTACCATATAGGACATATATATTTAACATTTGATGCACATTAAATTGCCAAAAATCATTTTCACTTTGCTTCTTTAAATAATCTCTAACCCATTTATTTGTTCCCATTTTGAAAACCAAATCCTCTAGTGTTTGAAATATTGTTCCAAAACTAAGAACTTTGCAAAAAAAGTGTGAACTTTTTTTCTTCATTGTAAAGAAGATAAACTAGATTCTGTTACTTTGATTTACAAATCCACAATGCTCATTTAGTATTTATAAGAAAGTGGGGCGTCTTTTTTCTCCATAAATTTACAGAGAAATGGGTCAGTTTTCTTTTGTGATTATGCATTAACTTGCCCCAGTGCCATGCTGTGGCTGCTGTTTTAGATATAAGGGCTGAATAATTATAAACTCTGTACTAAGACAATATGTCTTTAATATAACTAGACCATTTCATTATCAAGCATTTTATTTTTTTTTTCTACTTCAGAATCATTTTTAGAATTTTTTCAATGTAAGAAC